TTTTTATGTAGTTTTAAGAATATAAAGTTTCAATGCAAGTCCCCACACATTACAGTCGCATTAGGTGCTGGTTAGTGTCTAGTTTAGGCTTGGTTTTCGGAGAGGTCTCTGTTAATCTTAAACCCATTTTAGACTCAATCTTGACCCAAACCCCACTAAATTCTGTCTGAGACTCATGTTGGACAAGATACATGATGTTTACTACAGCTCTGCCTTGTGCACATCATTGAATTTGTCTTATCTCTATGTCTTGAATTATGCATACTAGCTTATAATATTCACATATGATGTCCTTGGAATAGAAATTTGATTTTAGTATTTAAAAGGGTATTTCTGTTACCTTCAAGGCTGCATTGATATATATATATATATATATTTTTTTTTTTTTTACAAATTACTTTTCTTGTTATATATGGCAACCCTGTAACAGTGTGATATATTATCTATAGCAGAGTGTTTGTGTGGAAACTAAAATAAATGTCTAACATGCAGTCTGTGGTTTGTATTAAGCATGCGTGTTGTCTGGGAAAAGCAGAATGGAGACTGGAAGAAGGTCAATTGGGTGAATGACCTGTATTCAGTCTGTAGACTTCCCGTTCACACAGATTCCCACTGAATGGCTACTGTGCTACATTGTGTGGTTTTTTTATGTTCTAATACAAATAGAATATATTATTATTGTACTAAATACAATAGGTTTATTTCAAGTATTAATTACAATTGCTGTTTATTGTCTCATACAGAATATGTAGTGCCCAACCCACATGGACTTATAAGACAACAAAAAATACCGCTGCAGTTGCGAAACATTTCACATTAACATAACTTCTTACATTACATTTCGGACTGAGAACTTGAACTGTATTTGTTATTTATGTAAAGGCGTGGGGAGTTTCGTTACATTAATCCCTGTTAATCCCTGTTTCAATATCTTCTCCACACCCCAGCTGCACAAAAAGCTAATTTAAAGATACTGAGTCTACAATATTGAATCACAATTCATAAATCTAACAATAACATTCCAACAATGTATGTAATAATGATTAAGGAAAGATTTAAAAGTCAGGAAAGTGAGTTTAAGTTAAATTCATCTGCAGATTACCAGCCCACATGTCCCTCTGGAAGGCCAGATATTTTTCTGTAATGGTACACCATTGACCCATAGAGGATTCTGGAGGTGAGACTAAGCTCTTATCCAGCAGCTGTCCAGTGAACTGAACCAAATATTAAACTTCACAGATAGTGATAGAGCAGCAGCTTTGCAGAGCAGAGACAGAGCAGCACTTTTAAAGGACCGGTGTGTAGGATTTAGTTTAATTGCAACCAATCGAATACATACAGTACATGGCATGCTTAATGCGCAAAATGCAAATCAACTTCTTACATATTTTGAGAACAGTTCAGGCCTTCTAGAGTTCTGTTACAACAAAATAATAGCTTACAGCCTTTAAAACATTAAAGATTGGCCTATGCAAATAGGCTTTGGCCCTTTGATGGGCTAATGCAAGATGCTTGGTCCCTGTGCGCACTCGATGTGCCCTCTTTATGTTACACACTTGACCCTCTCCCGCTACCGAAGATACAGCAGCTCTCTCTCGTTCAGTTCTCTCCTCATCCTGATGGCCATCAGATTGAATGAATCCAATTTTCTTTCACACTTTCACTTGTTTTGCTCACTTTGCATCTACGTTGCTCAATCTGGTGTATTATTGGCAGACATCATGTTGTGTTTTCATATCAGATCGTAGAGCTTACAACAGATAAATTCAGTGGGCCTTAAGGAGGTTAGTGTACTAACTGTATCAATGGTCATTGAATTCATGTTGCTTTGTGTTAATTACAATAAGCTTTCAATGTGTGTTTACTAATTTTTTTATTCAGTTTATTTATTCCCTGGCCAATGGAAAGCCGCATCCACTTATACTGATTCAGTATCTGATTTTCTTGTCGCCAAACCTAAGGTTTCTGTTCTTTTCTCAGATAGTGAAAGAATAGCATATTACTGCGGAAGTCCCATGTCCCACTGCTCCCTTTTGTTCTATATAGGGCATGCTGGTGAGTGGGTCAAAGATAGCAAAAGACGAGAAGCACACAGGAAATGCTGTGTATTGAGTTGCAGCTGTGACATTTGTACCCCACTGAAGTCATGGAGTTTCTCTGATCTGAGTGACATTGGAAATTCTGCACCCTGGAGTTTTTTGGGAATTGCTTTATACAAGAGCAGTGGTTTCATTAGTACAGTACAGTATGTAAAGGTCATGTTGAATGGTACAGCCATGGTTGGAGCACAGACTGCATATTGCTGAGCATGGCACTTCTTTATAACCCCAAAATCTCAATGCCAATCCAGGTCTAACCTTTCCTGGTTTAACTCTACTTGAAATGACCTCTGATGAAATATTATTCCATTTAAATTATTGGATTGACATTAAATTTGGATTGTCCCCAGAATATGATCTGAGGACAATCTGACTTTGCTTCCAGACTGAGACTACACTTTTCCATTTATTTGACAGTTTGATTCTTGAAAAGATAATGTCCAAATGAATTGTTAGACTTTTTTCCAATGATGATCTGACTTTTCCTCTAGCAGCCCGCTCAGGTACACACAGGTCAGTTCGTTCAGATATCTCGAAAATATATTTTTACAGACAGTTCCTCACATATAGGCTGATATTTGGCAAGATATCAACAAAATCCATTAAATATACTTGCCCATGTGTGCTGGTTCATGTGCTATACAATTGCAGTTTGTGCACAATTTGAAACATTGCTGTCAAGCTTGACTGCATGTGTCTTCTAGTTGATGATTGGCTCGTGAATAGAACTGCCAACTGTTTTACTGTAGTACGACAGGTGCTGAACATTTTCTAAACACAAAAAAAAACAAATTAGTCTGTCACTACTAATCTCAACAGATGTTGTGCCAGGACTTCTGTTTTTGCAATGATTTCCCCCACATATTAAAATGTGCGTTTCTTTCAGATGTGTGAATAAGATTTTTTTTGTTTTTATGTTGATTTTAGAGTATTATAAGGACAATAATAGAACGTAAAACAGGATAGTGATACTGATTTGTCTTTTTTTATTTTATTAATATAAATGAATTTCTTTTTTGTATTTTAGTATTTTTAGTACCTTATAAAACAAGAATTTGTCTTCAGCATCAGACATCTGCTGCCTGCAGTCACCCCCAGCTTAGTGACTCCTGATTTACATATAAAAGCATTCAAATCATCTTATCTGATAATCATAATGCCGCACTTCATATGCAGACTGTGGAGACCCTGACGAGTGAAGATTTAACTTGTGCTTTGAGCTGAGGGTTTGCAGGTCTCAGTGAATGTTGCATTGTAATTTGCAGAAGGTTTTTAACTGACCTATAATGCTTAAATTGTCTGTTAAAGCCATCAGCTGTTGCCTCTGCCTCTCAGAAATGTTTAAATTCACCTGAACTGAGCAGGTTTGTGGGAAATTAAAGACATTAAACATTTTAATTCCTTAAGGAGCCCTGATTCCTACCCACTTAGCTCCCCTAAAACTATAAGACAATGAGCTAAGTACAACAATATCAGGCTCTGAAACACTAAGTGTCTGATGAAGTGTAATAATTCAATAACAGCCCACGCTCAAATTGCTGTGTGGCCTGTTTTTTCAATTTCATGCTTCTGCAGAAACTGCTGGGATTTAAAAGACCAGCAGATAGTCAAAATATTTTCCCTGGTAGACAGATACAAACCTACAAATGTCTACAAACGTACAAATGCCACTTTTTTTGTCATAGTACTCTAACATAGCCAACATTTTGATGAGTTGTTTTGTCCATTCAATAGACATAATGTGGGAAAGTGGCAGAAAGCTCAGCAACTATTTTTTCAAATATATATTCAATCACATTGTTAGCCCTTTCTTGGTAATGGTTCATTATAAAAATCACCTGAACTAAAGTTGGAATAGAAATAAATGGATGTCCACATTTGCAAGAGTATCTGTTCTTGTTTTTGATCATCTGCCTCTGAGCAAACATGCTCCTGAAAGCCCAAAAGGACAGAGATTAGAGGTCGGATGTTGGTTAAATTTTGGTGCTAACTGCAGTTTAAAGGATAGTTTAACATTTTACTATCTAAAAAACAACATTTAGTATGCCTACATGGAAGACACGGGACAAAATCCACCATCCTTGTTCTGTATAATTATGCATTCTAAAGTTCAGCTGAGTTAAGCTTGAAAGTGTATCTTCCAAAGTTAGTCTTTTTAAAAAAGACTGAGATGCAGAGGAGGGACTGTAGCATACAACAGGACATTTTGTGCTAAAAAGTTGGGATGCAACAATCCAGCTTTGTCTCTTTGTCAGTCTCATTTCAACACCTCAACTCAGAGCATCTGTATGACGAACGATTTGTCGGAATGGAGTTTTGCACAGATCGAGGACTGTAGACTTTGTCTGCCATCTCTTATATTAAAATCACAATAGGAAATATTCTTTTCAGGCCCAGTATGGAAGCAAGAAAGAGTTAAATGACCACAGATTGCTTTGTTGTACTTGTTGGCATGTGAGCATTGTTTTAAGACATGTGAGCATACCCTTTAAATACACTTGCACCACAATAATCTAAATTGACGTAATCTATAAATATGGTTGTGAAAGAAACAACCAGAGTGGCTTTAATGCGAAGCCAGCATCCAAACAGATACTTGTGTGGCCAAGAATATTTGGGTTTTTTTTCAGCATCTACAAGCTTTGATCAGAAAGAAATCTTCTCTAACCATTTCCTGTGTTGAAGGACAAAATAACATGAGCACCATGTATGGGATTACTCTCATGTGTTACTATTCAACTTAAAGGACATGTCTTAGGATGTTATAATGTTAAGAGGCTTACAATCCTCACATAATGTCTATGATTCACTCTGTAATTATGTAACAGAATGAAGTCTGTATCTAACTCCTATGTGTAACCTCTCGTTCCCTCTCTCTCTCTCTCTCTGCCACCCACACAGGAACACAATGTGTTCGAGATCGGCTAACGTTTCGCTTCTGTCAGACTCTCCGCTGGCTCGGCCGTTGCCACTTGCCCAACATTCGAGCACAGTGCTGCAAAACCTGCAGCCAACGTTCCCGCTCCAGCAGCACGTCTCGCCGTTGAGGTGCAACAAAATAAACACACGTCTCATCAACAGGAATACTGACTCGTCCGACGCCAAAACTCTGCATGTTTGGGCTGGAGAAATTATTATAGAGGGCTGAAATTAATTGGAAATGTAACAAAGCATAGCCTCAAAACAATGAGAATGTAAATATTTGTTTGCACTTTTTATATTATACAGTTTTACCATTTATGGATCAGGATTTCTTTGTAACAGATACGGTGCTACATAAGGGGTTTCTCGTCAATGTAGCCTGCTTAGTAATGCTATTACACTATTACACATGTAGATAAACCACTCATTAACCTTTATGGTTGGTACAATGCTTTCATTTTTACTGACAGCAGCAGAAACTGAACAGAATAAAACAAACAGGTATACAATTGTTTTGTGTGTTATGAATCAAAAAACTAAGTGGTGCATAAATGCTTGATTGGACATTTAAAAATAATTGACCGTTAGCTAAGCCCTGCCCCCCTTACTTACTATTGCTACACCTGTACAGCTAATAATAATAATGCAGTGGCAGAAAACACAAAATCAGACTTCTGGTTTGTAATGGAAATGAACGTACCTAGTATGTTTTCTGTACTGCTGGTGATAAAGTACTTCCATTATATACAGGTTTGGAACTGCTTAGAGAAGCTGTCTGTAGATTCAGGGTCCTGTGTTCATATGTGACGCAATATAGTTTTGTACTCTGCGTGTGTTAATCGTTACAAGAATGAATAGGTTAGGATGCTGATAAAGCTGCCTGTCGTGTTGGCAAATGTAACACAAACGCACTGTATCGGGTGTTAAGCCGAGTTTGTAACCTCACACAATACTTGGCCTTGACAGTAGATGTAGATAGCTAGGCATGCTAATGTTTGCAGCTGACATTAGAGCACACTGTTAAATTCATGCCTTACACTTTTGGTTTTGCAAAGGATAAAAAGACACTGCCCTCAAAACTTTTGACAGCCCCATTCACTTCACAGGCCTGCAGCGCCTAGCTACAGTTGCTAAGCTACGATGGGACAATCGCTGTTCAGAGGCGGGGTGTAGCAAACGGTCAATTAGCATATTTAATGTCCATAGCAGCTTGTAAAAAAGCATTTTTTGGCTTTACCACACAGATTTTTAAAAGTCATTACACATCGCAGTAAATGTGAAAAGTGGAGCTGCAGGAAATACTTGGTGCTAGAGGCCGCACAGGCTCCAAACGTTTCGGGTCAGGTATTCGGGCAGGCCCAGTGCCTTATCTACTTGAATATTGGATAATTTGATGTCATTATTTTTATTAACCACTTGATTGAAATATGAGTCAAATTCAGCTTTTCAGAATACATGTTTTTTTTTTATTATTCTTTGGAACGGAGGGAATAAGGTCAGTGTCATACATTAGGTATATATCGTATTTTATACTTTTGCAGCTGTGGTTTTAAGTTGTTTTGGAAGAAAATGAACTTTTACTTACACTTCATTCTTTCATATTTTTATTCGTTCAGAATTGTTGTTAGCACTGACACGTACGTAAGCTGCCGTTAGGAGTCTATTCATCAGGAATTGAAAAGCAGCTCAGGCTTATCAATGGAGTCCAGCCCAGGCAGCTGCAACGCCATCATATCCTCCTGTATTTCTTCATGCTGTTTAATGTAAAAAATAACGAAATAAATTACGTACATAAGGAGAAAAAGAGGGAAAAAAAAAAATTTTCATACTTTTGTAAAATACTGTAAATTGAGAGTACCTACAGTAAAATATGTTGATTGTTGCGTGAAAAGAGCTGTTGAAGCAGCTGGAGGCATGGAGCATGAACTCTCTGGACTTGGGGGGCGGTTGTGTAGATAGAACGAATTTGTTCAAGGTAATAATAACCTTGTAATAATCTCATATGTAGCAACCTTTTGTTGTGTAATGTATAATACATTCTCTCCTCAGATAACTGTATACACAAGCAACACAGGAACCAAGATACAATTGAGTGTAATTACATAATCACACAGTTGGAAGTCATCAGTGATTATTATTTGATAAAGCAGTTATAATTTACTTTTAATGCTTATGTTAATTATACCTGCCTTGTCTACATAATATATATTAATGTAAAGGGCTATTGATTGGAAGAAAAAAAATGTTTTTTTCTTTAAAGTTTACAGGTATAAGTGCTGGGAACAAGCAATTAAAGCCTTGTTCAGTTTAATATCTCAAAATTACTTCTATTTTAAATTTTCCTCAGGGTGAACATTGAATTGAACTGATCGTATGATAAGCCCCTCCCTTCTTGGTTTCAGTTGCTATGCCTGTCAAGCTCTTTATTCAAGTGTTAAAGTTAAATCTAAATTCATTTTTCCAACACTGGGTCATTGATGTCAGTCAGAAAAAGAAAAAAGCAGGTTTCTCAGTTGTAGTCAGTGACCATTGATTCTACCGACTGAAATAATAACAGTCACTGGCAGATTTTATTTGAGTAATAAGTTGGTTAAACTCTGCGTACACCTAAGTATTTGATGAGTCGAACTGACCCTGCTAAAGGGTTATTAGCATGCTACATACACATACACATACATACAAGCCCTATTCGTGTCCTCAACCCTTCATATGCTACTGTGTGATTCAACCACATAGCGTTCCCTATATATATCCAGCAGCAGGTTGTATCTTAAAAGATAGTTTATTTGGCCCCCACATATGTCGTCCAAAATTTGAATCCAATATTGTCAGACTAAGCCAAGCCCTGGCGTGGCTGCACAATTTGCACAATAATGTACGATTCAACTGAGAGGAGGGTAAAGTGGAACAGTGTGGAAAAACTGGATGTCTGTTTTGCCCTGGACAAGCATTTTATCTTTCAAGGTAAAATACAGACATCAGCAACATGGACATACCTTTGAAGACCTCTGCTGGATACTGGGTCCAAAATAACATTACATTTCTCCCTCAAGGTTAGGCAGGGTGTGAAGAGACTGAATTATGGAGTTATGTGGAGTGCTGAGGTCACAGATACACCATAATCATAGCAAAAAACTCTACAGCTAAAACTTTAAGGTCCCAGACAAAAAGTCTGCATGCTCATCATGTAAATCCATGCAGAAGATAGTATGTTTCACAACAGGTTTCATGGATGAGGAACATGTGGGTCTCTCAATTGTATCTCTAAAGAATCTTCACAAATCCAATAAGGAGGAGGACAGAACCACTAACCAATGACGTAGTAGCACATGGGACCAGCTAACACACATTTGACAACTTAATGTAGTTTGCTAATGTTAAGCCACCCCTTTGGCTGTAGTAGTAATGCTAATGTGATGCTGTAGGCAGTAAGGGAAGTCAGGCATGCTAATGTCAGCAGCTTAACCTGGAGCAATAGGCCTTTTTTACTGCAGACATTTTGACTTGTCTGGCACAGGCAGATGCACATTGTTGATGTTCTTAATTACACCTGTGGTTCCTGCTCGGACAAAGTATCAGCTGTAAAGGTCTTTTTATTCCTTACACGTTTGCTCTTTCTTGTTTTTGGAGGTAAAAAACTACTTGTAAACTGCAAGTTCTGCCTATATTTAGAGGGAATTTAGACTCCAAAGCTTAATTACAATTATTAAACTGATTGGACAATCAGGGGAGGGCTGTAATAAAGGGTCAATCACATTTGTAATTGATCGATGCATTTGCTTTCCATTTATAAACATACTCCCACACTGAAATACAGTTGATGTTTGACTGCAGGGTAAAGCCTATCACAGCAACTTTTCTCAGTTTAGTTTGTTGAACTGATTGTTTCTGTACTTTTTCTGTTTTCTAAAGATTCATATTTGTACATGTATTGGATTATGTTGGTTTTCAAGCACAAAATCAAGACTATATTTTGCCAAGTGGCTAATATGATGCTTACCTGCCCACAATTGCTATGTACAGTAATCCTTATAAAAATGACATAATGTAAGTTGTAGTAGTGATACAACATTTACATGTTTTGGACAAAATGTTATTCTTTTATTAATCATTAATGTCATATTACATATGGATATTTATACACTGTGCTTTATACTACAAAATAAAACTAAATTAAATTACTAACTTGCTTACATAAATTCTAACTATTTTTTTGGACTGGGGGGGGTTACAAAACAGTACAACCGCAATCCTTTACAACGTGTTCAGTCGTGTTCGGTGTATTTCAAGTCAGTTCCCCATCATGGCTGTTGTTCTGAAGTTTTTTCTTGAAAGGTCAGTAATCGACAGGTGGCAGTGTCACCATCTGGGTGAAATCTTCATAGTTGACGGCTCCGTTTGACTTGACGTTTGCCTCTTTGAAGAGCTCATCCACTAGACAAAGAAGACAGAGGAAACAGCTTTGTAAGTGAACTTGAAGATCGAGGAGCGCTGCCTGAAAACTCATCTGTCTCCCACGATTATTCAAAACGCAGAGGTTAGAGAATCCCTACTGGTCTTTGACTGTGGGAGTTTTTGAGTGTCTGACAACAACTCTGTCAAAGTGCAGAGCTGGCAACAACCATAACCTCTGTGCTGACTCTGAGTGCACTTCTTATTCATAGAGTGATTAGCAAAACTGAAATTAACTTATTAATCTGAATTTCTACTCCATGTGAAAGCTTAGAAATCAGAGGGAAATATACTTTTTACTACATTTATTCAACAACTGTAGTTACTGGTTACTATGAAGATTTTAGATAAAAAATATGATCAGTCTATTATCATTGTTATAGATTAAACTATAAAACTGTATAAAGTAGTTAAAATTAGTTCCATCTCAACCAGCTACAACAGTAAAATGTCTAATTAATGCATCAGAAACCATAATTGAACAAAATAAAGGTAGGATTACTTCCACTAATTAGGTTTACACGAAGAACAGTATATTCATCATATTGAGGGGTCACTTTAAGCTTCCCTTACATTGACACAAGAATGGCATATCCTTTAAATGTATTTCCCCATCTCAGAGTTCAGATTTATACATGGCTCTTTTTTTTTTCTTCTTCTTTTTTGACCCCCAGGAGGGCTCCGTGGTTTTGGCATCTAAGTCAGTCGTTCTTTTTTTAAATTCAAACCAAAAATCTCCTGAATGCCAATGGTGAATACTCAAGCTGGTGTATTAGAGCAGCAACAGTGAGAATTACGGCTTCAAAGCACTATTGTCGGCTCTTTTAGTACAGTGGCATCACTATCTGCTTCAATAATTTGGGAATCCGTCAACTTGATGGAAGTCTCCCCACTGGGAAGCTGCAGAGCTTCACTGCTTTATGTGCGCAGCACCCATCCAGAGGCAGTACACTGACAGTACTTTGAATTAAATCTTTATGTTGCATTGAAGCCAGTAACTGTATGAATGACTGATCTTGGGCTTTCAAAAACAAATGGCATCAAAATCAATCCCCAGAAATGTAACTGGATATCAGCATCCATGCAGGAGCCCTTCCATTATACTCTTAGCTTTAAAAATGTTGGACAATCCATTTTTGATGCTTTGGCTCTACTGTCATCACTTCACATGTGGAGTGAAACGTCAATGTTGACATTTCTGACACACAGACTCCAGCTGCAGTAAACATTCAAAGTTTTGGAAGAAAGAAAGAATTAAGACGCTAAGCAAAGATTGACTTCTGTTATTATCTTCAAATAGTAACAGTGCATGCTTTATTTTTAGTTGTGCTGTTATAAATATAGAGCATATGTTTTATATATTCACATCTGTTTGACTACAACTTTCCACCAGTTACCACAATATGGCAGCATTTTGTGTCTGTATTCAGGAACCTACACCTGAAGATACAACCAGGTACACAGCAGAAAAGAAGATAGTCAGGTTAAGGTCTATAGGAAATGCAGTCAATATCTGGGGGAAAGCTGTATTACACAAGCAGGTCACAGGACAGCTACTGTATCAATGAGGCAAGACAAATTGTAGTGGATTTAGGGAAGCAGCTTGTAATTCCCAAGGAGACACTGAGCTGAACTCTAAAGCCAGACTCACTGCAGTCAGTTACAGTGGATTGTAGTCTTTGTGGAGCTCGAAGTGCCACGGGAAGACATAGTAAATGTGACAAATGTAAGGAAAAGATGATGTGTGTCGGTAGAGGCAGGCTGGGCTTGAAGCCACTGTTTTGACTGAAATATGTATCCATTTTTGTCATTTCATGGGTACACACATCAGTTAAAGTCTTATCTAATATAAACAGGTTAATTCCAACCAAATCAAAATCCCAACTCCTCTTTAGAAATCACAATGTTTTAACCCTGATAGTGATATTCACTGCAGTCAAGTATCAGGACAGACATGAGTTATTCATTGTTTTGGCTCTCCTTCAACACAGTTCAGTATTTTGAATGAAGCAATGACATACACGTTCAAGGGTATTTGGGGGTGCTGTTATATTGTGTGTTGAAGTGCTACAAAATTCAACATATTCATTGGTTTTTAGTGTTAATGCCTTAAAATGTAACCTTACAATCTGCCCTGTGTTTTATATTATAGAGTCAAACTGTCCCAACAATTACAGACTGTCTCTAGTCTGATTTATGTAATAGGTGATAGGTGAATAAGATATGTACCTTCCTTGTTTGTGAGTTTCTCTCCTAACATGGTGAGCTTGGCCCGGAGCTCAGAGGCCTGGATGTATCCTTTCTTCTGTTTGTCCGTCATCCTCAAGGCCTCCAGGATTTCTGTCTTGGGGTCTTCCTGTTGCATCTGTCTGTGCATCATTGTCAGAAACATAGAGAAGTCCAGCTCCCCTTTCTTATCTAAACACAAATATAGCACAGAAATTAGGTTTGTTTAATGTCAATAACCAAGAAAAAAATCTGCGTGAGTTGACGTAGTAAGTAAGTTTTGACAGGAATTACATTATATTTAATGGTTATGGGGATTCTTCTATAATTATTATTTGTTCTATTTCTCTGTAATTATTTTAAGGATCTAGGGAAAGAGGCTGTATAAACTGAGACAAATATTCCCTTTTGAGCTCTATGAATAAACCGAATTGATTATTTTTTTGTTCAAAGCAAAAAAAAAAAAGGTTTCTTTTGTGTTTATATGCCACTTGATAATTGCCTTCTAAAAGCCTGGAACTCAAGGTTTTATAATAACCTAATAATAACATTGAAAAAAATGCTGTACACTTAAAAACAAACTCTACCTCCTCTCCTGAATGAAAAGTTCCTACCTCTGTACTGCACAGCACACATAAAATACTTGTAGTATTCTTCTGGTTTTAGTATAAGACCTATTTTGACTTTTTTTAACTTCTGTCAACCTGAACAAGATTTTGCAGCCTTCAAACAAAGGCCCACAAACTGTATGTATTTACTGTATGCTGTGCTTTACCGATTTTGTGAGCTTGTAGATGTCTGTCAATTTCACCAAACGTGGGGCTTGTGCCGAGGCAGCGCATAACTGTAATCAGGTCTTTGGCTTCGATCTTGCCCTTCTGCTTCTTGTCATACAAGGAGAAGCACTCCTTGAACTCTGAAGGGAAATGGAAAAAGTATTGGATCACACCAGCAGTTTATTTCATTGTATTATTTAGTAAGGGACTTTTTTCTGTATAGTTTGTCCATCATACAAAGACAAATTAACTTCAGACTAATAAGACTAAACAAGGTCAAAATTATCTTTTTCAACATTGTTTTGGTTATTGAAAGACAAATATACTGTACATATGAAGACGAATAGCAAATAATACATTTCAAACACCAATATATAATAGCAATAAATGGAAAACAACATGTGTGCCGTAGAACACTCTTACCATTGATTTGAACTTGTTTGAAGAATTTTGCCTGCAAGGTGACAATAGTTCGGCATCACTTGTCAGGTAAGTACACAACAAAATTGCTGTTACGTAAGGATATATATGAAAAAAGGCTTAATGGAAAGAATTTCTGCTCTTACCATTTTCGCAGTTGGTTTGGCTCTTTCCAGGAAGAAGAGTTTTATGTTGCCCACGTCACCTGTCCCTCCACCTCTGTTTAAAGTCCACCACCTGTAAGCCTCTGCGTAATTTAATATGTGTTGCTGTGGAAACGCAGATACCAGAGCCAAAGTGCTGCATTGTCCTTTCCCTTCCCCTCCCCCTTCCAATAAAAGTAGGCAACCAATTATTACCCGTCAATCACCATGTGATACTACAGTGCCATATAATAGGAGGAAGGTTTGTAAATAAATAACGAGATTTTAAATCATTTAACTATTTGTGTTGTCACAAATAAAACTGCCATATGCTCTTTAAAGTATGTTCAGGGTCAAATTAAGAGACAAATTTAGGTAATAACCAGCAGGTAGAAGGTAAATTTCAACATTTTATTGAAGATAAACATAGTAAAATCTAACCAGTAACAGAACAGTTTTTTTACAAGCAAGAATAATACTGTAAATACACAAAACAATCACAATTTTACATTAATAACAATAACTGCAAAGACAAAGATGGCTACTCAACATTTAAAAAAAAAAAATCAGCAAAGTAACTCGAGAGATCATTGCCATCCATTATCTATAACCGCTTTTCCAGTTCCTCACAGGACTGACACATAGTGACAAGCAACCCTTCCCGCTCACATTCACGCCTATGGCAAATCTAGCGTTGCCAACTAACTTGAATGTCTTTGGACTTTGGCAGGAAGTTAAAACACCCGGAGGGAACCCAGGCAGACGAGGGGAGAACATTCAAACTGAAAGTCCCCAGCTGGCCAGTGGGTTTGAACCATTGACAGTATAAATAAGGTTTGAACTCAGAACATTCTTGCTGTGATGAAGGTACACCATGGTGCCGCCCATTAAGGGGCAACTTTGTTTTACTATGACAGTGTCAATTACAAAAGCAAAGAAAAAGAAAAAAACAACAGAGATATAAAAACAGAGAAAAGGTGATATCACCCAAAGGTTAACTGTATTAATTTGAGGAGGGGCTGTATTTAAAAGCATTAAAAGCAGTTCTGATAAAGCCCATCTGAGTGACAAAGCAATTCTGAATGGTAATATGGTAATTTTCCAATAAGAGCTATACAGATAAAAAAAATACCAGAGAGTATCACGTCTCTCATGGAAAGAAGACCACCTAACCACATCATATCAAATAGAATGACTTGTACCACAGACATTACCGATAATAAATGAGTTGAAGAGGATGCGTGCCTATAAATCACATCACTGTAATCCAAGAAAAACTGTTCTGGAAAACTGCATGAAATTAGTTTTAGTTAAAGAGCATCTTGCAGAATGTTAAAGGAACACTGTAAGTTAATGACCGTTAGATGTACAGAATCAGCAACATAATACAACACTGTGTCATCAGCGTACAGGTGGCCATGACTATTTGCCAAAGACAAACAATATTGTTGATGATAAATAGTGAAAAGAACTGGACCTAAGATTTAACCCTGTAGAACACCTCGTTACGAATATGATGGCTTTCCAATTTATCAGATTGTTGTCTCTCTCATAGTTTCTTAGCCAATTACATACATGAATATCAAATCCAATATAATGTAGCCAGGCAACAGTCTACAGTATCAGATGCTTTGAATAGGTCAATTACGACCATAGTAACAGCAGCTACAGTATTTGTGTCCCGCTCTAAAACCAGTGTTATGGGCTCAAGATGGAAACTCAGGACAGAAATATCTGTATTTGATCATTTACTAAAAACAATTAATCAAAATTGTCCTCTCCTGTACAGTTCCTGCGATCAATAGCAGAGAGCCTCTTGAACTACACTTGAATTTATCAAATTCATTTGTATGTCATCTGCTCTTGTTTCTTTGACCTTATGAATAATGTAAAAGCATATGTAAAATGAACTTCTTTTTATGTGATGTCTCTTATACTCTACATTACTGAGCCACATGCAACAAAGCATGTTGTCAAAGAGTGTATGTTCTCAATAGGGTTAGGTTATAAAGACCACATGTGGAAATATAATAGCTCAGTGTAGCAGAAAGGAAAAAAAGGAAATAACCCTTTTCTACTTGGACAAGAGAGGAAAGTGGGGGAAGGGAGAAGATCAATCAGACACACCTGTGAGCAGGAGAAGAGGAATAATAAAAAAAAAACTAACAAAGGCAGCATGACAGAGGAGTGGAAGAAGCTAGAAGGAGGACATAATTGTGAAGTATATGCTTATTATGCTGTTTCTGGGCATATTTCACAAGTGACATATATAAAGGTAATGAGAGTGGGAGTTGCTCAAAGAACTGGCTGGATTTACTGAACGTTCCTGGACAACAAGGCACTGCTGGAAATAAGCTGATCCTTGGAGTCAGTTTGGTTGAAGCGTTTTAAACTGCCTCTCTGGCCTGCTCGGATACAACATTGTTGGAGGTTGGACCAACCAAAACCTAAGATAAGTCTCTGACACTGTCCAGGCATTTCCTATTCTCTTGCGTCACCTGCCTCAGGGTTATGTTCTCTCTCATCCTCCCCCCTGATCTTCTGATAAATCATCTTCTGATTATTCTGCTGTTTGGTGCCCAGCTCTATTTTATCTATCTTTATCTATCTATCTACACTACAACAGCTTCCATGTCTAAATTAGCATGGCAATTAAACATTTCACCAAAATGTATAATCAAAAACCAAAAACTGTGAAACATTTCATACCTGAGAAAAGGTTTTCTTAAAAAAACAAAATACAAAAGTTCAGAAACATTCCTCCATTCCAGAGTTTCTGTTTTTAAATCCTCCTTCAAAACACATTTAACTGACCAACAGACCCTGTTGTTTATATAATACTGCTCAGTGATGCTACCATCAGACTTTTGTTACGTTCTCTTTTATCTTGTCTTTGGCTGTTTTATCTTTTTTACTGAACTTATATTGATTTTATTTTTTTGTATCTAAATTGTTGTTTTTGCTACTTTGAAGCCATTGTTCTTCTAATGGTAGTCCATATCTATATCTTGTTATTGAAGTTTGTGCATCTCGCTTGGAAAGTGCTATGTTGAATATATTATATATATTATTTTACACCACTGTGTTTAGACAGTCAGGATTAGAAATGACTCCCATTGTCTTCTTTTCTTTTTGGAAGTCAGGCAGAAAAAGCTGTGACTGGCAGACAATTTACTGAACAAACAACACATTCTTCTTCTGAACTGTTAGAGATCAACCTCACAGCATTTCGTCTTTTTTGATGATTTGATTTTTCAGTGAATATACCGTACATACAGTATATTCACCTTCAGTTTGTTCGTAAAAGCTCAACTTGGTCTAACTAATATTTACTAACGGTGAGAACAGTTGATGCCGTTCTCAGGAGACCCACAGGTTCCAGGTTGTCTGAGTGGCAATTACTTTGTGTTAATTATTTGTAATAGTCACTAAGGTTGTCCAAAGTATCGATACTTCAATACTTTTTCAATACCACATGTACTGTGGTTCATTTAAAAAAAGAATAATAATAAAAAATAATCTTATTTTGTGTGGCTAGGACTTTTTCTAGCCGGGGTATCAAAATACGGTATAGAGTATTGGTTTTTACTACTAGTATTGTATCAAAGTTTACATTTCTGGTATCAATAAACCGATGCACCACTAAAGCACAACTCAAATGTTAAAGGGCCCTAAAATGGTTCCTGCATTTTTACCCAATCTTGAAGCCCCATCTTACACAGGGGTCCTGTGCCAACATCTACATTTAATATCTTTTAAAATTTCTTTGACATTACACTCACATGGGGAAATGTTTGGGGGGTTTAAAAAGAGGACCACAGCCCGCCCTTTTGTTTTTCAGCAGGTTAATCCCTGCCCTGGTTTCACCTTCAATAAAAAAAAACAACAAATAAATAAAACAAATTCCCATTGGGCAAAACACACGTTTTAACATTAGATTTAAAAAAACATTTCTGAGAAAAGGCTCAGTTATTCCTGCTATATGTGACATGCAGTACTGGCCTAATACATCAGTCTCAGATCTCAAGTCAGACATATAAAGTAACATTTCACCAAAAAAAGGACACAAATCCCCTTTCGAATTTATGGCTGAAGGCAGCAGGACCTTGTGTTTAGCAGTGAGGTTGTTGCACATTATCACATCATCAGTATTGACGTCATCCTGAGTGCTGCCACAATCTCAGAAATCTGCATCTCAGAAATCTGCAGAAGAAAGAAAACATGCATCAGTCAGTTCATACAAACATATGCGTTCAGAATAATTTTTTTCTTCAAACAGAGAGGTATACAGACCTGGTCGGATGTTATTCAGTGGCTCTTTAGGTGTAATGTGTAATGTGTAGTAGGACCAGGGTTCTGGCACGTAAATGAGCCCAGGGTACTTCTTGCGTAGCACCGGGTCATTCCACAGATAGGCCACCCACAGTGCCACCAGTAGCACAGTACCACTGAAACTACAGAACAGGAACAGGCCGTTGCTGTCTGCGCTGAGCCCTTTACGCTGTTGATATATCACCATGGCAACCATGGCAAGGAAGGTGATCAGGAAAAGTTCAGTGATCTGTCCCTCTGTGACCAAGTACCTATGTCGTAAACCCAGAGAGAAATACTAACGTTTAATCAGTCACTCGTTACAACTGAAACATTCCCAATAACCACACAATACGACTATATACTGTCACAGGAAACTGTTTAACAATGGAAATGTTCACTGCTTCAGCAGTTAAATAAAAAGTCATAGCTTTTATAAAAGGCATATTTTTTAGGTTTGTGACGACCATCAACGTTCCTCTCCCCGGTTTGAATTTCTGCACAAAGTGAAGATAGAAATAACAGAGCTTGTTCTGATCCAAAACCACACAGTGCAATTCATTCATCCCAAAAACATTTAAATTGTTCGCGCCAGTTAACATTGCGATATGAATTGCTTTCATTTTTAAGCAACCTCAAGTTGTAATTACATTACACTCTGTTTACTGTCCATCATCTGACAAAAGAAGGTGATGCTCTGCCTAAAACATGCTGCTGTACACTTTGTCACATTCATACCTTTTTGGGACAGCAATTCATTCTAAAAATAGATTGGACAACCTAGAATTTGCATGTAAAATGTTCCCCAAAAGAAGTTTAAATATGTGGCTTTGAGTGCAGAATGATTAGGGTACATGTTCATTAGTTAGTCAGTGTTAATGCCGATGTAATTACCCTGTTAGTCCTGCAAATTTACACATCTTTATCTCATTGTATCATTTTCATTGTTATGTTTATACTGTTTACATGTGTCATATTTTTAGTATTTTTTTTTCATGTCAAAGATAACCTTTCATTCACTCTTGAACAAAACGCTACAAGTCATGTACTCATGGAAACACACAGAAGGATTTAAAAGACTGACCAATAGTAGAGGGCGCTGGGTCCCAGCAACAGCCAACCAGAGACAGGAATCTTCTTCTGTTCTTTGGCCTTTGTGAAGCAGCCGGTGAAGTAGATGAACAGAATGATGAAGAAAGGAATATACCTTAAATAAAACGAGAGGCCGTAACTGTACAGTAGACCAGCACATTCATTGTCTCAAATCAGAGAAGAGGTGTACATGTACATGTGTTTTATTTGTGTAATTCCACATAAATTGTTAAAAGGGATCTATTATGCTCACTTCCAGCTCTTCATTTTTATTCTGGGACTCCACTAGAGTATGCGTATATGTTTGCATGGCTTTCAACACGCACAACTTTATAGCTTTATTTACTCATTTCGGTGAAACTGGATTATATTTTATTGGAGAAAATATTTTGTAGTGTTTCCGCTGATGTCCTCTGGCTGCTCTGCCTCAACTCTCCCGATTTACGGAGCTCCCAGTCCGGGCTGTCAGCTAAAAGGACGGCTAGTAAACAGCAGCGACAGTTAGCATCCGTTAGCAGTTACTTTAGCAACAAGTAAAGCTATTTGTCCATCAGGAAACTCCATAAATCACAGAGAGCTGAGGCAAAGCAGCTGGAATATTATATTTTATACTATATATTATATATTCATAAACAAAAATGCTCTTCATGCGAGACATACGGAACAACCTCCAAAAACTAGAGTAGTCCTAATTAGCCCGGGCGAATAACTGAGACAGACTGAGCGAGTTGTCCTTGCTGTGTCTGGTGCAGGTGATCATATTAAGAAGCATAAAGGAAAAAAATGAAAGCATAATAGATCACCTTTAAAACTCTCATTTGACAAAAATCCTAAGAAAGATCCTCAACTCCACTCAGCTTAAGGCCAGCGCCAGCACAATCTCTGAAACCTTGGCCGGGCAACAGCTGAGCCAAAACCACTTCACGAATCCCTCAGGGCTGACTGAGAAAAAGAATAATTTATTTTTACTCTGAAGATGAACTCTGTGTGCTTTGGATAAAAAAGAAGTTTGTACTGATATTTGTTTCTCAAACTGAACATCTTGGAGAATAATTAATAAATAATATTGTAACATGGCTGTAGGAAATGTTCAACTGACAATAGGTTTCAGTTCAAATCACCACACCAGGACACCTGAAACAGTTCAAAATCAGTGTATTAAACTGCGGTAACTATAGTAACAGTGCTCACACCAAACTCTGTATTAACAGTTTTACTGTAAAACTAAATAAACCAACTCGGGTTGAAACGGTTACTCAATCCGTTGACAAAAAACAACTATTCTGATAACTGAATTACTGTTTCAGAAAAAAAAGAAGAAAGAGAAAATTCTCCAAACCTTCTCTGATGCCAACGTCTCAAATGACATCTGAAGACGTCACTCTTGACTCGTTTTTTTTACAGTTGATAGACGACACGATTAATTGAATAAATGATCAACAGATGAATCAATAATGAAAAAAGAAAAAACAATTTTAAAATCTAATGATGAATTGAAAAAAAGCCTGTCATTCCTACAACAATCAACTCAGCGAATGAAATGTGACTCCAGCTTAATCCCTGGCTGCCTTTATACCAGTATTCTTTAGAACTTGTCCGATTTTTGGCCAATATTAGCTCATATTATAACTCGGTATCAGCGTATATGTGTGCGGATGAGCGTCAACAAATGGCAGTACAGAAACGCCAAAGACATGTTTGAAGTAGCTTAGAAACAGTGTTGTCGTTGCTTAGTTTGTGTGTCCAGTATGTGTGTAAAATGTCTGTACCTGTGGTTATATGACATACACCCCCCATCCTAATATACATAAATACACTTTTAATGGATTTAATCAGAATTTAATCTGAGGTAGTATCTCAACACACTGTCATATTAGATTTCTGAGAACCAATGTGTTAAGAAACCACCGCACAATGTATTTTCTTCCTTCATTTGATAGCATATTGTTTTTCTAACTGTGTGTGTGTTCTGTCTCGAGGTGCAATATTCAAACCACACACACACACACACACACACACACACACACACAACACAGCAGCATCATCCAGCGCAAACTTACATTGTGTCAGCGCCAGAGTAAAAACATACTCCGGGGGCGTTATCGGCCGATTGAGGCATGAAGGCAAATGCACGTAACAAGAAAAAGAATGAGAGATATACCTCTTCCACTTGCTGCTCGCCTAAATCTTTGGAAAAAAAATTGATTTCAATCATTTATTTTGTTATCAGACAAAATTGATTCTGCTTCTATTTTCCAGCATGTTGTTGGATTTATTTTCACCGCTGACCTCCTCATTTTGCTCATCCTAAAATCAGTTTTGTATTTAGATGGAAAATAGATGGAATATATTCCAGCGCACTGATACCCGGCTGCAGTTATAGCCCCCTAAAGTGTTCAAATTCTCTGAATCTACACCTTTGCTCTTTAATTGATTTCTTGCGTCTATGTGTTTTCAAAAGACACAGCATCCATCATTCACAACCAGTCAGATTTAAACAGAAAGAGGTCAACAAACACCGGTTCACAGCAAAACACTCCTGAATTCTGATACATTCCAGTTATTTCCGAGCACTTTATATGCAGTATATATATATATATATATATATATACAATAATTATCATGAACACATACCACATTAAGTGTCCCAGCTGTTCGTCATAATAATACAGCAGCTCAAAGGAGTCAATCTGTGAAGGAAGGACATAAAGGCTGAATTAGTAGAAACTCATTACAGCTTTAACAGGTATGTTGTTCTGCAGCGGTGGGGAAGCGCTGTGGTGCTCCGTTCTGCCTTATGCAACAGTGCCACCTACTGTTCTGGTCCCGTTTACATTTTAATACGGCAATAAGAAGAAATCAACATCTACAGACGGGTGGCAAGTTACAGGACAATCCCTGAATAAATGAGTGGAGAAACGTAACAAACAAAGCATCTTCCATACTCAGTGTCTGAGTGTGGAAATAATGTGACTCTCGACTTTGTACACCTTGTCCTGTTTAGTATCTTATTAATATTATTATTTTTAATGTAACGTCTTACATCCACACTATTCATTCAGTGTGAAAATCTATTTGTGAGATAATTATAAAATTACAATTACTACACTATTGTTTCTTCTGAGGTAAATCCTCTTCAAACGTGAATGTCCTAATCAGTTAATTTCAACATTTTATATTTAAATCAATGCCCTGCCTCTCTGTAATTAACTGTAAAAAAAGATGCATTGCAAATAATTACCTTTCCACATGCATCAGTGTGAATGAAATCAGAAAGTATTATGAACATACACACAGTAGACCTGCAGCCTTTTTTAAAGCCCTACAGCTTCATGAACAAATAAATCTATAAATTTGCTCATAAAAACAGCGTAAACAATTAAAAACTATTCTTGAACAGTTGGTTTGAATTCACACAAATTGAATTAAACAGCATCAAACAGAGACATCTACACTGACAGTCTTAGGCAATCTCTTTTCAGAATTTTAATTTGAGCAGAAAATTAATATCTCAAAATTCGCTCTGATGTTTCACA